TAATGTACAGTTTGGTTGGATTTCGGACCTCAGTTACAGTTTGTAACATTTTGTTACGTTTGATTATAGTCAACTACAACCCAACACATTGTCTTACGATTCGTTACATTTTATTATAATTCTAAAAAGACACTTGAATCTCGTGAAAAAGCAACTGTAGTAAGCTCTAATAAACTGTAAGGAAGTGTTGTCATCTGTAATGTTTTATAACAGCTTACAGTTTTTTGCAGTTTATCACACTTTTTTATATTTTATTATCATTGATAACTTTTAGACACATTTCCTTACACTTTCGAATAAAATTTGCCTTAAATTAAAAAAACTTGAGTAACTATTATAAAAAAGTATAAGTGTAACAGCATGTGGTAAATCATATAAAGACGTAAGAAAACGTAAAAAAACGTAACACAACATAATATAGTGTAAGAAACGTCCGAAATCCATGAGACTATTACAGTTCCTTACATTTTCTTACATTTTCTTGCGGGTTACGGCACATTATTACACATGTTCACATTTTCTAACATTTTGTTACGTTTTCAAATTTTCACTGGGGTATAACTCTAACTAACCATGAGATGAAATTGTTTATGAGCTTTCGTGGACCATGCACTCACAAATTTTTCACGGTGTCTGACTGCTCAGTCAGTTAACTCAAAAAGGATATACGTACGTGGAAAAACTATACCTGTTTTCAATATACCTATTTGATTGAAAAAATAGTCCGCGATACTACTTTAAAATTTCTGCTGCATCTTCGGCAGCAACCTCCCTCCACTGTTGCGACCTGTGACTGTTCAGGCACACTTTCGAGAAAAACGCTGTCGTCAACCCCAGTTTACCAGCGAGCTTGATCACAGTAACCTAGTAGCACAAGAAAAAGAATATTATTGACATCTTGACAAACAAAAGTGCATAAAGCTACCGTTCTGGAGATACTACATTACCCGCTCGTCGGACAAGGAGGTTCGGGAGTTTTTTGAGAATCACTTTGAGAAAAAAAAAGTAGATAATTAATGTCTGATGCACATCAGATAGCAGAAATTTTTTTAAATATTATTTTACCGCGCAAATTTTTCAAGAAAAGACATCATTAATCTCGTATTACGTAAGCGTTTCTATGATATTTGATGTAAAACTATAGATGTTGGTAATTTTTTTAGAGTACAAAATAGTTTATGTAGATAGCGTACGTAACACTTGAAAAAGACACTCGTATTAAAAATAAGCCCCTTGCCAAAGAATTGAAAAAGAAATAAATTTACAAACAACGTACTCAAATGATTTTGCTCTCCTCGCAAAAACTTACGAACTTTCTTAAAACTGTTCAGCTGCATACGCACACATCTTGCAGCTTTTCAATGCTGATGCTTGAGGCAATGAAAGCTTTAACTAATTTTTAAAAAACCATCAAATGTACGTACTTCTAAAAAAAAAGGTCAACTTCTCTGATTATACGTTTTGCCGACAGAATTGCCCTCAATGTCACCCCACCTAAAAGAGAAAGACGGAATTCCATGTGTGATTACTTCTGTAATACCTTCAGGAAAGCCATGTGGCATTACATATGGTTTTACGTATGGCATTACATAAGGGGTTTTAGCATGGTAATGCCATATGTAATTCTATTTGAAAAAACACATAGAATTACAAATTGGAAAAAGGAAAAAAATTTTGTCATCTAGCGAAATAACTGCAGAACACTGTAATGCGTCATTTACTGTGAACAATAAGTGTTACCATCTGGATGATAACTCGAAAACAAGGGGATTCAAGTTATATTTCAGGAATTAAAAAAAAATTTTTTTTTTTTAATTTTTTTCTATAGACGTAAAATCAGCTAAATCCCCTTGTTTTGGAGTTATCATCCTGGTGTTAAGACATATTGTTAATTGCAAATAACTTATTGTGGTATTTTGCAGATATTTCTAGATGATGATAGAAATTTTTTCTTTTTCCAATTAGTAATTCCATGTATTTTTCCATATGGAATTACATATGGCATCACCAAGCTAAAACCCTTTATGTAATGCCATATGTAAAACCATGTGTAATGCCATATGGCTTTTCTGAAAGTTTTACAGAAGTAATTCTACACAGAATTCCGACATTTTTTTTCAGGTGGGACTTCACTGCCGATGCTTGCTGATCGATACACTTCAAAAATAATTCCTGACACTCATGTGTAAACTATCACACGCGGTCTACCAAAAAAATTTATCGATGGTGCGTACGTCGGAACAAAAATTTTTTTCCCCGGGGCCCAGAGAGCAAATTGAAATGACCGGTACGTTGCGTTGCAGGTTAATCGTTAAATTGTTTACTATGAATGCATCTGATTGAAGTTGACGCTTTCATTTGCGCAGCGACGTACACACAGTAAGATTACTTGAATTTTAAAATCGAAATAAAAATCTTTGGAAAACAGTGCAGAAAATAGTTTACGATACTTAATTGAAAACAAATGAATAGGAAAAAAAATCTTTGCTTGATAAACCTAAAAAAGGTGACAGTCGCACGAACATTGTAATAACGGGAATGGTTCGGCTGAAAAGAATATTCGAGATATTTGCAATGTTTGAATTGCAAAATAATTTTTTTTTTTCCTGAAATATTGTTAAAAATGCAAAAAATAATATTTTTATTTCATGCTCATGCACAATATGCTTAAACACACATGTTTACCAAAGCCAAATAACAATAAAGTTCGATTTACTACTTCTAGAAAGAAAAATAAAAAAAAAGATTATTTGATACTATTACCAATCGATAGGAAATACAAAGAAACGTAAAAAAAACGTTTTCCTCGGAGACTTTTTTTCCATTACTAAATAATTTTTTAGCAGGACTTAGAAAAATTCTAGTGTGCGGCCCGCAACCTGAAAAAGAAAAATTCGATCCAGCATTTGCTTTCGCTGCCGTTTCCCCTCTTGCTTCACTCTCTCTCTCTCTCTCTCTCTCCACGCACCATATTCTACGTATACAAAGCACGCATGTATAGTAGAGCATGGAGGTACAAAAAAACGATTATTGAATAAATTCTGTTAATTAAAATTCGCTAGAAATTTATGGCTGTAAACAGCTACTTTTTATAAAAGTTAAATATAGTTGTTGTTTGTACATGATTATAGCCACTTTGTAGTCAATTATAGCTACTATTGTAGCTGATTATAGCTGTAAATACAGCTATAATTTATAGTGAATATGATAGCTAATAATTTTTGACTGAGGCGACCCGCAACCTGAAAAATAAAAATTCGATTCAGCATTTCTGCATTTGCTTTCGCCGCCGCTTCCCCTCTAGCTTCACTCTCTCTTCGCGCACCATATTTTACGTATTCGCTACGTGCACAATTTTGAAGCAGCGCCACCAAGGGAAAAACGAGAACTATTAGTCTGGCACAGCAAAAGGCAATATTCGCGATATATGCTTGATACCTATAGGAACACAGTACCTTGATAGATACACGAAAGGTTCTGTGTTTATCATATCACGAACTAATACAATGTCTCAAGTGGTACAATCCTACGTGAATAACTAAAGACAAAATTTGTTCTACAAGCACTATAAGCGCTTGAGTATGTCCGTGTGTACTGTGTGATACGAGATATGTTTTATTAGTTTGCAATGTAGTCAACACAGACCTCCTCTGACCAATCAGAGAGCTCCGTTAGCCCTATACCGGCGTGTTCACACAGTATGTACACACGTTCATACGATACGCTTAGAAGATCAGACCCCAGCTAAAAACTCCAAGAAATACACAGTAATTCATTGCGTTTTTTAATGAACATGCCTGAGTAAAATATGTACACACTACTCATAATTTTATTAAAAATTTAACCCTTAGAATGGTTGTCGATGTATAAACACATAACTTTCTAATGATAGTAATGCTTAGCAGTCTGCTAGCAGAAGACAAACATATCGTTTGGTTTCACATATAAGCACAGGTATTGCTGCGATCGCTTTTTCAGCTTGTGTTGTGCACGTAGTGAAATAGCGAATACAACGCACGCATGTAGTAGAGCATAGAGGGGGTGTATGACTCGTAGGCCTCGTAGCTCGTCGTGGCTGCCGCTCTCTCCTTCTCACTCACTCTTACAGCAAGTGTAAAAAATGCTTAATTAATTTTTTTAGCATAATTTCGCACTTGTTCAAACATGTATGATACATCAAATCGATAGGAAATTTTTCGCCCTACACGCTGGTGTTTTTATTTTTGTCGTATCTGCTACTGTTAAAGAGATATAAGCGAAATAAACTTCAGACACGATTTTCACATTTATCCATGAATTTAAAATTTTTTTTCTTATTTTTCCCGTAATAAGCGCACAAACATACGTTAAAAAACCTAAAACGCCCGCTTGAACAACAAATTTCTAACTCAGAGCTTAAGCGAGTCGTCTATGTAGGCAATATGGACTGTGGCTGTACATATGAACGAGCAGTCAACATTAGTTATATATCTATTGCTACTACAGCAGAACCCTTTATGATAGAATTTCAAATACATTTATTGGATTTTTATAAAAAGGATTAGGATATCATTGTCAATTAACCATCATATAGATTTGTGAAATCTAATTCATCTTAGGAGAAATGGTTTACAATTCCTCATTTTAATTACCTTACCTCTTAATACTTAAGTTTTTTCAATTTCTTAAATTTTTTTTTTAGCTTCCTCTATCTTTATTGCGTACGGCTCAAAATCATCCAATGGTGAGTCATCTTCAAGTCTTTTAGTCTTTCATTTTTTGTGTCACAGTTTAATATTATTTTTATGCCATTTGCAACAGCAATTATTTCGTTCAATATCCATTACAGCTGGTTGAATTGAAAAATGGAGAAACTTATAATGGTCACTTGGTAAGTGTAGACAATTGGATGAACATCAACCTTCGAGAAGTTATTTGTACTTCTAAGGTAAATTATTCAGTTAACTTTTGTGATAGAATCCTGTTATTAGTGAAAAACTATGGCCATATTGTAATAAAGAGATTTTCTGAATGACAGTTTATCATTTTTGATGCATATGCTTTTTATGGTCAATCAAGTTGAATTACATGTTCTAAAATTTGTCAAACTTATATATACAAGTCTGTTCTTTTGAGTGGTATTTATCCTTCTATTAGATTTTCTTAGCTTATTCCATAACAATATAAAATTTTGCATCTGAAGTTTCATGTGACTAGTCTTTTTGCACTTAATTTTAGGATGGTGATAAGTTTTGGAGGATGCCAGAATGTTACATACGTGGAAGCACAATAAAGTACTTAAGAATACCAGATGAAGTGATTGATATGGTTAAAGAAGATGTACAGATGAAATCAAGAGTCCGAGGGGAAATGAGAGGACATAGAGGAGGACAAAGTCAAAGAGGTAGTCGAGGGAGTGGCCGAGGTTTGTACTTATTGTTTGTATTCATCAAAATTAATGCTCTGTCTTTGAAAATTTAATGTCATTCATAGAAAGTTACATATTTAATCGTAGCCAAAGAGGCATAATATTTTTCTATCAGAAAAGTGGTGCATTACATTACTAGAGTAACAAAAAATTACAATAATTAGAGCCCAAAGGGCGCGATAGTTGAATTTTGTTGCCCGAGTTGCGTATATTGTTTTTCTTACTATCAGTGCTGAGTGCAATTTTGTATTCGTGGGTATATTGTGGATCAAGTAAATTGCTTGGGGCCCAAGGGCAGAAAATTATTTTGCGCCCAGAGAGTGCATAAAACTTTTCTTCTCATGAGTTTATAGTGACTACAAGGGCGCAAACCAGCAGTTGCAATTTGTGCCCATGGTAGAGTATGGAAATTTTTTGGGGTTTTTATCCTAATCTTTTCTTTTTGTAAAACTTTCTTGGATATTACACTTCTCAGTTGAATTGAAATATACTAAGACTCTAAAGACCAGTCATATCCGAGTTGGCTAAGTCGAATGTCTTTATTTAATAAAGGTAGATAAGAAAGAGCTGCTCCAACTTGTTAACATATAAGTTTTTAATAATCTAACTTTGAAAACATTTTTTTTGAATGTGTTCAATTAATTATTTATCGTTGTATATGACTTGGTTCAGTAAACAGTAGAGTAAGTAAAATACGTTTTTGCAGCTATAGATTTGATTAAATATATTTAATATTCAAGTCACACGGGTGCTTGACAAGGCAAGTTCAAGAAAGCAGACAATGCCTTGGCGACCGTGCAACTATTTATTTCTGATTTGTACATTCGCATTTTCGAATCTCGAAAAAAAAATGGTTTTTGTCGGTATGCCTCAAACATTTTGGGTTAATTTAATCTTTTTAACCCTATTCTACAGTTTTACCAGTAAATATGGGCTGAAAGTCGTTAGAATAACGAAAATGACATGCGTGAATCTCAAAATGCTTCAATCAACATTTTTCTAGGCTCAACCTTTCCAGGCTCTGCGAACTTCGCTACTTAGCAGCTAGCTGATTTCGATTCGAAAAAAATATCTAATACAGTAGCATCATCAGAGATTAGAAGGGAGATTGCCAGCGCCTATGGTAGAGAGTGTGTCGCTTTTTTTCCACTGTTTTGAGAACCCCGTCGCGGCAAATCAGCCGAACTATACGCACGTTTCAGCAGCGGAGGAGAAGACCAAATTGTGCGTACGATAGGTACCTAGTAGAGGGGGAAGGAATATGTGCGTATACACGGGTATAGCTATATATGTTTTGTATTCTAGCTGCCTCGGCTCTCGGCTCCCGGCTCTCGCAGCTCGCAGCTCTCGCATGCATGCGTATACCTATATCTATTCCTGATGTGATGTTCCCTCAAAAGCGGTTTTGAATGTTGGACAGTTATTATATGTCCGGTCATATATTATTCATTAAATGTGTATTAAATACTTGTACAGCTAAATACTGAGTTTTCCTCGTATAAAATAAAAAATTGAGTAATAAAAACGTAAGCCCCGATATTTAATGTAACTTCTTGAAACTTGATATTTATAAAATAATCATTTTTACAACTTGAATAATTTATGTTTTTATAGATTTATAAAAATTTAGCACATTAAAAATATC